ATATATATATATATATATATATATATATATGTATATATATATGTATATATATACATATGTATATATATATGTACATATATATATGCGTATACATATATACATGTGTATGTACATATATATGTATATATACATGTTTTTAAAAAAATGTGAAAAAGTTTTTCAGTATGACGACCTAATTGAAATGATGAATCGCGTTGAGCACTGGGCGCATCTGCTTCATCCGAAATTGAGGTTTGAAGATTTTGTGAGTCGAACGGAATCACTGAGCGAAAAGAGAATGATTAAAGTATGTTCATGAATTTATTTTGTGTATGTTTGCAGAAAAAAAAACATCTTTTCGTATCTGGGCGCTTTTTGAAGTAACTGAACTTGGCTGTAGTGCTGCGGAAAACATGAAAAAATATTTGTGATTTTTGTCAGTCGGGAGTGAGCTTTTTTTGAGATTTTAAACTGTTATGGGAGAGACCTGGATCTTTGTAAAATCAATGAAGAAAAAATTTGTTGTTGTATGTGAGTCATATTAAGAAGGGGATGGTGAGTTCGATATTGTTGGTATGATTTGTGAGCGTTTTTAGACGATGATGACGAAAATGCGGCTTGAGATGCCTTTGACTGATGAGGATTTTATAAAGAATAAGGAAAATGCAGTCGTTCCGGAAGCTGAAGTTAAGAACCAGCATTCTCCTGATCGGTCACTGGAAAATTTGGATCTGTTTGAAATTTTTGGCGACAAATGCGAGAATCCGGCGCCAGCCTCCACTCAACCGCATAAATCACCATCTCCCAGAGCTGCTGCGGTATGTAAAAGATTACTTTGAATGAGTTTTTTTTTTCTTTTGCATATATTGACTGGGAGCACGAATCAAAAATGCATAGATAGATAGGGCTAAAACTGACCATATATAAATTGTGAATTTATTTTAGGTCATAATCCTAGCGCTGTTGGTAATCCTGATTAATATGGTTTTAACCTTGAACTGTGAATATTTTTGCAGGTGCCGACTTTAACCGAAGAACAGCTGCAGCGCATACAAAGAAACAAACTTCGTGCGCAGAAACTTCGTGCCGAACGTGAGGCACAAATCAGGCATTCTGGTAAAGCATATTCAGTGACGAAAGAAGAAACACTGGCAGAAAGCCAGGCAGAGCCAAGCAGTGTTTCTTCTGTTGTGGAATCGAATGCAGTTACTGCAGATTTGGGACAGCAGGAGCTTGTCGAAGATGTTTTGATGGATGACGATGAAGCGTTAGATTTCATATTTTCTGCTGCCTGATTTTTATCGCTCATACTTTTTTTCGTGTAAAAAAATCTGCCAGGAAGGGCCCTGTTCAAACATTCGTTCTGTAGGAGTTGTAACAGCCTGAGAATGTCATTTTGTGGCAGTTTTTTACAAGCCTAGAGAGAACAGCGTTTCGCCATTGACGTAAGTTTGTGGCAGTGGTGGGAAAGCGCAGTTGCGTAAAGTGAGCAGCATCCTTCGAAACGGGAATTTCTTGTCCTTGGGAACAAGAAACTGAAAAAAATGAAACCTCCCTGTTTATGTGTATTGAGAGAGATGATTCAGTTTGCTTCAAAATATGTGCAATTTGCTCACAGATTGTTGAGTATATGAGTCAGCTATGTTTTTTTTTTTTTTTTTTTCGAAATCAAGCTCACCTAGTTCAGTTTGTTTTGCCGTCTTCCTTCATCTTGTTTACAGATCTCCAGCTTCATCTTGTTTACATCTCAGTTTTTACAGTTCGTCAAAAATGCCTGTTGAAATCTTAAAGCCACTTCGAATCTGAAGAGTATGGAGTAATCCAGAGCTGTACATTCAGCAGATGTGTCCTTAAACTCATTTGTCATTAATTTCCATTCATTTTAATGTTTTGTGGCCCAAATGTGCCTGGCGCGTATGTGCCTCCGTGTTTGGCCTTTGCGGTGAAGTTTCATGGAAAAGATATGACCCATGCTTCCTTGCGCTTCGAATATTAGTGGGTGGCACCCGCGAGAAAAAGCGAAAGTGGGGCAAGGACAGACCATAAGTACACAAGAAAATCAGGTTACAGGTAATATGTCAACAATGCTCGTGTAATGGTAATTGATACAAACGAGTAAACACCCAGTGTTGCTTGTGTAATGCTCGAGTAACGCACAATTCCCAACGGTACCCGCTGTCGCAAAGAAACGCAGTTGACCTTCGCGAATCTTCTAAACAGTTGTTTTCGTGTTGTCGATATCAGCATCAGCTAGGGGAGGATGATCTGAAGCGGACTGGAGGGAGGTCACCAGGTCATGAGGGCGTAGGGATGGAGTGAGAGCGGGGCTAGGAGTGCGGAGGACGGCGCTTGCAGAGGTGCGCGGAACAGCAGAAGTGGAATAACGGAACGGCGCGCGCGGCGGTGCGCTGATCGGAGGAGTGGAATAGAAGACGGCGCTTGCGGTGGTGCGCTGAACTGGAAAAAAGAAGAAGGGGGCAGCGCGTGGGGCGGTGCGCTGGTGCGAAGAAAAAAAAAATAGGCATTTCGGGTCCGTGATGGTTTGAATGGTTTGGTTGGGAGAATTTTTTGGTGATTTCAATAGAAGAATTGATTCGGGACATT